TCTTTTATCTTTCGCATTCGTTCGATGGGAATTCGAGGGATTTCAAGATCGTTGATCGATTCGATCAAGATGTCGATTAGGATACAACGAGCCATATCAAATTACCTATAAACCATAGGAACGTTGTGACGGAAAGGGATACGTGTGATCGTTGGAAGGAGCGAGGGAGACGCGGAGTAGATAGACAGGAGTGGAACGATGAAGACAGACCGTGACGAATGGATAGGATAGGAGGTCCCCGTACCATTATGTAAATTTCATTAGAGCTTTTGTGCGGGGACTGGCTCGACGCACGGTGTCGCCTTATTAGCTTCGAGACTTCTTCTTTTTTTCTTTTTTTTTTCCTCGATCAGTTTACCAATCATCCCCATCACCCGAGAGGATGAGGATGTATCGCGGTGAAAGAAAAAGCGGATCGAGTTTTTCGGGGGAGGAGGATTCGCGATCAGCCCAAGAAGTTGCTTAACGAAGAGTGGCACGGTTTCAGGAGCCAAGATCTCGTTTTTAACGATCTCCTCCCCGAGATCGATTACAGGAGAGAAACATTTTTCCTTCGTTTTGCGGAAACAGCAACGCTCCTTGAGCGAAGCTTATGCAGGCTAAATTACGATCTTCGTTTCCACTTTATCCGTCAACTTTCTTTCCTTCTTTTTCCTTTCTTCGAAATTACACCATCGACCATACACCATCCACTTTGCCACTGTTCGCCAAGTGGCCGTATCCCGTTTACACGGGGCGATGTAATATTTAGAGGAACGAAGAGGTGAACGAAATGATAGGGCGGTTTATTTATTCCGAGATATTGAGTTTTTAACGAGATTCCCGCGCGTCTGAAAACTTTACTACGAAACGGCAGCGGGATGCTGGAGCGTACGCCCGAGGCTCTGCGATATCTTCGCGCCGGCCACTGAAAACGAGAGCTCGAGAGCCGCCATCGAGATTAGGTACACGACGGGAGGAAAATCTAGGCGCGAGCTTTCCTTCTCTCCGTTCCCCTCCCCGCGGGGGCCCTGCATAACGGTAAACCGAGCGGAATCTTTGTCCGCCGTCCCGTGGGATAAGATTCCGTGGTAAAGGCGGAGCAGCGCAGGGGCCTTTCTGTTGACCCCGCAAATACCGATTCTCCCGCGGGATCAGCTTGTCAGGCTTATGGTTTTGCGGACGTATCGACTCGCCGAGATGTCTGCCGATAATAAATGCGTTACCCTGCCTCTCACCACGATATTTCCCTCGGCTCGATACTTTGTCATGTAGATTATTTTATACGAGATCCGAAAGTGGCGTTCACTGTATTCGCAGAGGAGAGTTCACATTCCTGAAAATTTTCTTTTAACGCTCTACTCGAGTCCACTCTTCCACGATTTTTAACGTTGATCGTTCGATTCCAAATTTCGATATTAAAATCACCGGGATGAGAAAATGTAATTATAATAACTATATATTACACACGTATGTATGGATGATGAAAATCGAGGTGAAAAATAATTGTAACTACAATTTTCTATCTAAATACAAAGAGCCAATTATTAATTCTTGCTAAAACACTTGTATATTTTTTGATCGACAATTTTGTCTATAATCTAATTGATCTGAAAGGAACGGAATCGTTCTAGCGTTTCCTTACGACGTTTATGAAAAAGAAAAAAAAAAGGGAAAGAAAATGCAAACTGGGGAAATACGGGGAGGGACGCTCTCCCAAAGTGACGGTTAATATTTTCCCATTGGGCGAAAGTTTACCAACATCGTTAACGCTCGGATGCCAGCTGCAGGCTCGCGATATTTCAAGGCGGAATCATACATTTTGCGCCACCGTGCGCCAAGTTCGGCGATGCCCTCGGTGGAATAAGGTCCACGACGACCACCGGCGCGTATGAATAAATTCATGGTGGAGGAGTTTGGCTGGCAGGCCGTGGTCGGTTGCAGGGCAACGGTCACGAGAACGTCGGACTAATCCAAAACAATGGAACGAGCGAATTAATCTTTCGCGTTCCCTGATCCACAATAATAAGCCAACGACGTTACGTGACAATTTCGTATATTGCGTGTAACTTTGATCTAACCAAAAATCTGGTAAATATCGAAGAAATCCTTCCTCGAGTCGAGGGAGTTTCTATTTTCTTCCGAAATAAAGTTCGAAAAATAGTTCAAAAAGAAAGGGGAAAGAAAGAAATGGAACGGATAAACTGGAATATTATTTGTGAATCCGTCTCGTGTTTAGAGAGGAAAATAATTAAACTGATTGCCTTCAATGAACCAATAACTCGAATGTTGTTTCAGGTATTTCGAACCTCGCGTATTTGAAGAGAAAAATTGAACTGGCTGCCTTCTCCTTCCTCGGTGGAATTCTATTCTTCCGTCGAACGATGTAACTGGAAATTGTTTGGAATGTACTTGTTTATTTCGGTGTTGCAACGTTAGAGATTGTTGCGTTTTGCCTCTTTCTCGTACCTGTTTCCTGTTTTGCAGCTCCTGTTTACCAGCGTTCGCGGAATTATTTTACGCCAAGCTTTTATAGACGTTGTATCGGGTAAGGGTGAGGGAGGAGAGAGAGTGGAGGAAGGGAGTGTCTGTGGCTCTAATTGTTTCGAAACAGAGCACTCGAGAACGCGAGATACTCTTTAATTGCGTACGTCGAATCCCCGGGTAGCCATAGTGAATACCTATCCCTCTGTACTTAGGGAAGTCCGCCCTTGAAGCCCTTTTTAACACTTTTGCGATTTCCAACGTATTGAAACACGGAGTGGCGGGGCTGGTGATTATCGATAGACTTCCCTCTCATATTTTCCGTCCTCTATCATCGAAGACACTTTAATTATGCGCCGTGGCCCGCCCCTGCTGAAACCCCTGGTGAAAAGGGAACATTTTTCCTAGCTTTCGTAACTTCGTTTACGTACTTCATATATATATATATTTTTTCAACAACTTCGTCGAACAATCGATTCGACAAACGATCTTCTGCTGTCTGAAAATCTTTCGTAATCCTGGAGAAATATAATTTTTCCCTCCAACAATTAAACGATTATATCAAAACAAATAATAATGGTCTCAAGAAAAATCTTTCCACGATTGATTAAAAATTTTGCAAAATGTTTTGCGATCCGCCAAACGACGTTTCCTTTTCTTCCGACGCGAAATTCGTCCCACGTTCGATCGATTTTAAACCATCTATTTCTCGATTCGATTCTCTCGATAAAGTTGTTCGACTAGGAATACGTTTGCATGAGCTATTTTCACAGCTATACGTTCCATCGCAGGTATATATATATATACGAGCTCGTATATTATTTTGTGAAGGGGCGAAGAGACGGCTTATAAACCGCACAACGGAATCGAAATAACTTCCCCTCCCTCCCGAAGGAGTCACAGGGCAGGACGATAAGATGTAATAAAGTTTATACTGGAAGCTGCAATTTCGACGGAAGTAATACGGCTAAAAGCGCGCCGTATAGCACACCGTATCGCTGTAAACCCCGCACGGGGGAGCTCTGAAGATGAAAGAGGATCTTAACCATCGCCAACAACGAGCACGGCCGTATACACACGTGGAATTCTCGCGGATCGTACGTTCTGCCCTGCTGAACCGGGAGAACGTTCGCAATTTACCGCGAAACGGGATACAACGGATCGAGAACGATTACGTTTCCATGTAGGGAGGGGGAGAAAAAAAAAATTCGAAAATTCGGTTAGACGTCTCGTAAACTCGTGTTTGTATTGCCGCCATAGCGTTTACTGCTGCAACTGAATTTGATATTTGCTATCCTATACGTTGGTGATTCGATGTGTTCGAGAAATTGATTTTATGGATGGTGTTTTCTTTTTTTTAATTTTTTTTTTGTTTCTTTTTTTTTTTAGATATCATATATTTCCGTGAAATACGTGAATTGGCGAGAAAATAACTTGTAAATATATACTTGAACAATTAAAGCGGCTGCGATAACAAATTAAGAATCCTCTTAATTTTTGCCTTTATCGTAGAATTACGTTAGAAATTACGATTCATTGAAATTTGTAATCCCTTTTTTATAAATTTTACATGAGAATGAAGCGATTCTTATCGGGTGAAAAATCTAAAATCGAATTAAAATCAATTCCTTCGAAAAATTGATTTCATGTCAATTTCTTGATTACAAGTATGGAACTCGAAATTCTAACTTTCGCCTCCAGGCGGAATGGAACGTGCAAGCTTATCGTTTAAATGCTCGTCGCGGTCTTTCTGCTCGCCTCGTCCATGTATTCCTAACGAAACTCGAGGTGGACCGTTCTATCTCGGTCAGAAATCGTGTCATTTAGAGTAGCTACCACGTCGATCTGTGAGGAAACTAGGTAGATGATGGCCAAGCTTTGTTGACTGACTTCCTGCTGATAGGGAGGAGAGAAACGACCTCGCTCTTGATTAGGAGTTCGACCGATTCGTCTGATGAAATCATCGTTCAGGAATCCAGGAAATTTGTCCTCTCGCTCCCTCCCACTCTTTGTTTCACCATATAATATTTTATTTAAAATATTATACGTTTCAAATATTTTTTCTTTTTGGTATAAATATGTAAAATATTTTACATTGAAGACGGTTTAAATCTAATGCCACAGGAGGTACGCGCCGCATTATAATTTCGCGTAATACCCTTTTGCGAGTACACGTGCGATCGGTTGGGATTGGTGGCGCGGCAATTGGAAGCGACGAGAATCGATCGTTGCCCCATTAAAATGAACGGGCACGCAAGAAACGTTAAATTCAATTTCCGTCGGAAAAAGTGGTATTTGCCGGGATCTGCAATCCAATACTCTTCGAATAAATAATATCGCACGCGTGTCTCGCCCGTTTCCGCGCTTTCACCTTCTCGAAATATCGTTATTTCGTTGATACAGGTTTCTTTGTGGCGATAATTACATTTCGTCGCGTCGAAGAAAATTTGTCGAAGGAAATCGGATGGCGAAAAAGAGGAAATTCTCGTAATTTTTATCTCGATCGATGCATCGATCGATTTCCTCAATTTTCTTTCTTTTCTTTTTTTCTTTTTTTTTTTGGGGGGTAAAATTCTCCTCACAGTACAGAGAAGTTAATTTTTCTCTGGCAGGGAATCGAATTAAGGTTGGCTCGACTTTGCTCGCGTCCTGTACACCGGTCCTATAAAAAAAAAAAAAAACGAAATCGATTGAATTTCAAATCACGAGCCGGGCCCACGTTGTATCCCGCTCGTTTGATCCGATATTAAAAAATATCCTCGGTTACTCGAATGTAGATCATCGTGCAATAATTGTTTCGGCCGCGTCCCGTGACGAAGCGAGCCGAAAAAAAATGATCGATCTGTCCTGCCTGACGAACTGTTATCGATTTGTATGCATGTAACAACAGCAAAATTTTCATTAAATTTTTCCCTCGTAGATCCTCAGCCAAAAATTCCGTTTCGAGAGTGAATCGTCGCACAGATTATGGTATTGCTCAAATGTTCGATAACATTTGAAATTATATTCAAGTGATATTCCTGCAATGTATTCATCGTATTTAGCTATTATTCTATTATCGTATCTTTCTTTTCGTTCGCGAATTACAAAATTGGACAATTACGAGAGAGTAGAATTGGAAAGAAAAAAAAAAAAAAGGAAAGAAAAAAAAATATATACGTACTCGGGGATAAAAAAAAACGGAAATATTTTAAACGAGCGCATAAATCGCATCAACGGTAATAAAAAGGAAGAAAATATCACGGTGGATAAATACGGAGGGAGCGGCATGTTACCGCGATAAAAATTGTTAAACGAAACAAATGGATACGTTTCACGGTTGGTCGTTAGCAAATTTCGTGGGATTGTTAAACGTTCGATCCGTGTACTTCGCGAATAATACTACGCCATTTTTCTTTTTTTTTTCTACGCGAAGAATTTAAAATGCAACAAATACGTTCGGCGTTCCCTTTCTTCCTCCTATTGTGTTTTTATTACGGCATCGTTTTTTTTTGTAAAACGTTAATTGCTTATACGTTCTATCGATACTTTGTACTCGTAGCGTGAGACTAAAGCTTCCTCGCGCGGATTTTTTGGCAAGTGGATTTCAATTGAGATCGAATGAAAATCTCGACGTCGAATCTCACCGTGCTTGAACTTATTCGATTGGTATTCGTTTCGAATTCCCCTCCTCCCCCTTCTTTAAAACTTGATCCCAAGAGTCGAGAATGGAAATTTCGGGAAGAGGGCGGGACTGATAATAAAAATCAACTGGAATCGCACGAAATCCTTAAGAGACGGTCTCTTGATTCCTATCGGTATCCTCGTTCGTTCACCCTCGGCGAGAAGAAATTGGAGGACGAAGGGAGAAGAAGATTTCCTCTCTTCGAGTAAACGTTCCAAGCTAATGCGGCAATGAATTCGTATTTGTCCAGGACGTTGGTGTCTGGAAGTGAAACGAAAGAATAAAAAAGAGAGAGCAAGAGAGAGAGAGAAGCGAGGGGGGAAAGGGGCGAGTTGCCGGGGAAAATTCACGTGTAAACGAGGCGTGTATTGCTAACTCGCTTAATTTTATCCAGAGGAGAACGAAAGCTCGCGGCTCGTCAACGAATGTTTCCAGACGCGAGTACATATACGTATATGTGTATA